GTACAAGATGTAGGCCCAATAAAATTGAATTTATTGGGCCGACATAGTGGTACACGTACACTTTCAGGGATGGGGCGGATAGGAATTGGGGCGGGGAGTATCGAAATTGCAGAGAGGGAGGGAAATAAACGCCATCCAGGTGGCAACCGCATGAAGGGCCAATAGGCACCCTCGCACACACAGCCCGCGGCAGACATCGGCAATTTTTCTGAAGGGCCTATCGACCCCTCACACCACCTCCAGCACAAAGATTTTGGCCAAGGCCCATTCAGCTCCCTCATACAGCCCTCGGCACGCTTTGGCCTTCGATTTTCATTAAGGGCCAATCACCTCCCTCACACAGCCCCCAGAACACATTGACCTTTGATTCTGGTGAAGGGACAGTACGCACCCTCACAAAGCCCTTAGCAAGCATCACGTCAGCGCCCGCCACAGGGGTAGTAGCGCTAATCATGCTCCCCCTAAATCTCAGGATTACACAAAATCAGAGTCAACCCCCCATATAGGATTGAGGCATCAGAGTACACTAGTAAAAAATGTCTGACAAATCAGCGTATGTACAAAAAGGTTCTCTGAAAAATCAGAGTAAGGTACAAAAAAAAGTCTTTGCAATCAGAGTACACCCCCAAAAAAACTCTGAAAAAAGTCTGAATCAGAATAAAAAGTCTGCAATTTGGGGGCCTGGTAGGATTGTCCTAACTCATGATGTGGAAGTTGACTTAGTAGTATATGATGCAGGGCCTCAGATTCGTTTAGAGGTACCCTGATCAATCAGCCATCCCCCCCTACTTTCCCCTGATATGTCAGTGTTGATTGTAAAAAAAAAACTGTTTCTTCAGTGTTAGAAGGGAAAAAAACTCTGATCATTCAGTGTTTACTCAGAAATTTACGCTGAGGTGAAAAAAACACATTTAATAAACCACAATTACACATCGTTGACAGGGCTCTCCATGGCTGCTGATGCTGTCTCTTCCTACTCTCCCTCAGCATTCACATCCTTGTCCATGTTCTCTTTTCCTTTCTTGCTCGCCGTGCTAACTTTAACTGTGCCGAAGGGGCGTCTCTTCTTATACGCCCGCCAAATCTGTACTACAGCGTCCCAGTCCGGCGAGTAGTCTAACAGGGACAAGCACATGAGATCACCTAGCCTAGTGTCCTTCAGGCTATTCCTCAGTCAGCTCTTAATCACGTTCTGGCGGGAGAATCCGCGTTCACACTCAACGGTGCTCAGAGGCAGCACCGCCATAGCCACCCACAGACCCACAAGGTTGGGATACTGGTCCTGTAAGGCAGCGGTTTTCAACACAAATGACAGCGCAGCATGAAACTTCTTGTCACTCTTCGGGAGACGAGCAAGCATGGGGGCGAAGTGTCGCAGCTCTTTTATCGCCAGGCGTTTGTCAATGCCTGAAACACATTTAGACACGGACGATTAGGGATAGTTAGTTTGTTACAAGGCTTGAAAAACGAGAAAACAAGCCACGAACGAAAGCATAAGGCAATAGGTTAAAACAAGCATTGCACCTGGCAGAATTTCGTCGGCATCCTCCGCGCGAAACAGAGTGACGAGTGATTGGAACCACTCGACAAACTGAGCCAGCCTCGCTTCCCGCTCCCATTTCTCTGGCCACTGGTCGTCAGAGAAAAGGCGAACGCCGCTCAAGGAATCCAGATCTCCAAGACGCTCCTGCAGGTTCCTGGCCATGTCTTCGGCAACCTCGGTGCACACGTCAACGCAGCCATTGTGTGTACCCCGTCCTGGGTAGTCGTCCAGTTCGTTGAAATGAAGAGTTACAGTGAAGCGAGCAGGGCGGCCATCAGAATCCGCGCCCTCAACGATGACGTTGGGCGAACCGCCCGGGCCGTGACGGGTGATGAACTGCACAAGTCGGGTCTTCTCGCCGCCTCCGAAGTCGTCGCCGCAGTCGATATACCGGCTCTCGATGAGGCCGGTTGTGTGCGCGATCTGCTGCTGGACGCTCGTGTAGTCCAGCTGTATGAATAGAGATGGGGAGACGGGTGAGTAGAGGAGGGAAGAGCACATGGTGGGCTGAATCACAAGTACTAACCTCACGCTGCTGAAAGGTCTTGTTCAAGATGTTCAACTGCTCAAGAACATCAGCCAGAAAGTTCAGGAAGAACCAGAAGCGGTAACTAGTGGCGATGGCGTATAAATTGGGGTTGCGGAAACGGAACTCATAGAGCATGACGACCACGGCAGGGAGAACAGCAAGAAGACGAAGGATAGCCTCACCGCGTGAAAGCCACCTGATGGCGTGAATACCCTGGAGCTCTAGGTTGGTTGAGGTGAAGAGCTCCTGAAGGTCGAGGAAGCGCTGATGCCAAGGCCCCGATCACCCAAGAAGCTCGGCAAGCTGGCGGATGAAATCATCTACCATGGAGAGTGCGGGGATGTTCTCCGCTGCCGCCTTGACAGCTAGTGCCTCCCTACATACATAAAATAACAAAGAGTGTAAGTATCGGTACGTATGTACAGTGCGAACAAACATGCACGTAGAAAACCATACTAATTACCGATGTGCGATGCAGTGGCACGACACCAGGTGGGGGATGTGGACGCGCAAGCGCGCTAAAAGCCCCCCCTTAGCACCCATCATCACAGCAGCTCCGTCGGTGCTGATGCTTGAAATCCGACGGAGGTCAACCCCAATGGCACGGATGTGGGAGAGGAGGAGGGCAAGAAGCGATGCGGCATCAGCCTTCTCGACTGTCAGCAATGTGAGGAACTCAGTCACAAGTCTCCCTTGGCGGATGAACGTGGCAAACACAATCATGTGTTTGCCACGACAGCGGTCGGTGCTCTCGTCAAGGCTCAGGCCGATGAAGGGGCTTGTAAGAAGATGCTCAAGCTGAGTGGTTTGGAGCCAGGTTGCCATAGTTTGAGTAAACTGTCCAAAGCCATACCTGCAAAACAAGAGGCAAATGGATAAAATGAAATGACATGTATAACAAGAGAGCGATACGGTGCAGCGAAACACGAAAGGTAAATGGATGCTTACGAGTTGTAATACATCTCGTATCCCTTCTCAGGGAAGCCCCTCGTCTTGCGTTCCGCCAAGTAGCGGACGAGATTGATCCAGGTTTCCATCGGCTCATTGCAGCGGCTGCTGAAGTGGAGCGCATCGCAAAGTGCAGTGACGTGCAGTTTCTCCAAGTCCTCTGCAAGCGGGTGCAGGTCGATCCTCTGCTGTTTCGTCGCCATCTGCAGCAGATCGTGTTGCTTCTTTTCGGCAAGTTGATGGCGACTCGTAGCAGCATGTCGCTTGAAGGCCTGGACTTGCACATCGGTACCCCTTTGCCACGCCTGCCTGTTTTACCCTTCAAGCCTGCATGCTCGGTACAAAGACTGCACCTGAAGGCGGGCATGCCACAGTCAGTCTTTGTAAAAAGGAGCCAAGGGTATGAGCTCGACCAGCGTGAATTATACTTGTCTAGGGTCTCGCCGTATTGCTCTTCAATAGTCAAGTGCCTCTTACCGCCAGCCTTTCCTGGGAGGTCATCTTCTTCACCTTCGTCCTCGCACTCGGAAGACGAGGGCGGGTCGGGCAGATTGACAGGTGGCGCGAAGGGGAGTCGTGATTGTCCGTACTTTCCTAAGCGCTTCGACGGGGTAGGCTCGGGCAGTCGATTGTCAACAGCAGAAGCATCGCGTTGTGCAGCAGTCGATCCCGACAGCCCAGCGATAGGCGGGACAGCAGCGTGCTTTCTGGCTACCTAAGTTCCCTCAGGCAGCGATGTTGGCTCGTGCTCGGCAGGTCTGGGAGACGGGCCTTGAATACTACCTAAAGATTGTGACACGACCTCAGAGGAGTGTGCAGTGCAGTCGTCATAGCATATCATAGCTCCATAATACAGCACACTAGATAGGGCAAATACATGGCAAGGGAACAAGGGTGAGCAGGCCATGCTAGTGATCAAAGCATGGGAGGGAAGGGTGGGCAAGTTGGAACAGAAAAATGCAAATGAGACTAGGTGGCAGGTCTGAAAGACCTGCCGATAGATGAAGGAGTTTGTCTCCTTTACAGCAAACTCCTCTTCTAGTCGAATCACAATCTGTAAATTTTTTTTATTACAAAAAAATTTCTCATAAGTAAGGAGTAAGTCTAGGCCTGTGCGCATGTCGCCTGCTAGGATGTGGCAATCATCGTCCTCTGTGGCGAGCTCGTTATCACCATCTGATTTCTGCCAACACAAGCCACGGCAGAATCAGGCGTGATAAAATTAGTGGCGTAGCGGTTCTCTGACAACGCAGTAACAATTCTGGAAGAGGAACAAATGAGGCTGGTGAGGGGTGGGACGGTGGCGGTAACGAGCCTGGGAGAGAACTTGTGACGGGTTGCTTTCATAAAACAGGCGCGGCAGAACCTTCGTTCAAGGGGTCCCACGAACGCGCCGCGCGCACCTTGCCCAACATGCATGGCAAGGTGGGTGATGCACGGTTCAGGACAGGCAGGTGGGTGGTCTTTGCCATCCAGTCCCTGCCACGCTGTTACATCATGACGCGCCGTGCTGCGTCCTCCGAATAGTTGGGATTAGACCGCATGTCAAGATTTTGGTCAATTGCCAATGGCATTCAGTGATCCATGTGCTGGCGCCAACGGGAGTGGAACGATCGTCAAGTGCCAATCAGAACAGTTTGATACTGAACAGTACTGAACAGATTGTTTCTGCAGCGCCGTCGTCGGGCGGCGCGGTTGGCAAAATAACGTGATTAACGGGAGCCTTCCCAGTCATGTACCGGTAATTCCGGGGGAGAGGGAAACGCACTATACTCGGTTTCAGCGTTCGCCCCTAGAGTCATGCTGTTTTGTCAGGTTACAGGTACAAAGAAACGCTGAAAAATCAGTATACGTTACGAAAGAAAGGCTGATTTTTCAGTGTTACTTATCCAAAGAAGGCTGAGTGATCAGTGTGTACCCAAAAAAAAAGTCTGAAAAAACCCTGAATCAGCATAAAAAGGCTGATATCTAGGGCCCTGATATGATGCATTTTGAAATTGAGCATAAACTGCCAGGAAAACCTCTTAAAACTGAACGGGGGGGATACTCAAATGATTTACCCCATACAGCAGGTACTCACAATCCTTTTGCGGTATTACTAACCATGGTCTGGAAAAAAAAACGTTGAGTCTCTTTTTCGGGGGGGTTATCATGCCGGAAGATTACGGTACTATCCGGAAAATTGCAGTTCCTTTAACACTGGCTTTATTGCGGGGTAAGGTGCAGCATACACTCATTCCTAATACCCTGTACACACCCCTGCAGCCCTGCACGTTGGCATCACACTGAAGCAGGTCCTACTCAGGAAGTTGGGAAGAGATTTGATCCTGCAAGGAGACAGGAGGTGGGAAGGGGGTGATGCTAAGTAGTTAGTAGAAAACTGCTTTTGAGTTGACTCAAGTGCATTTGCTATGCACAGGCTCTTTACCTAACCCCCACGACAGACACAAATCCTCACAAGCATGCCATGAAACCCATGAAACAAAGATGCCATGACAACCAATGTGTCATGTGCTGCAGTGGGTGGATGGTGGCAGTGGCACCGGTGACTCTTACCTGGCTGCCATGTGACCGTGCACATATCTACAGCGCAGACCATGGTCCAGTACCAACTAGGTGGAAAGGATACAATGATGCCGTGGAAGCTGTAAGGCGCGCGCTGGGCCGGGTGGATGGTGGTATCGCTTTCTGTTCCAGCATACAGCATTCATGATGCAGCTTACAGCATACAGCATGCACCATAGACATACCTTGGACACAAACATGCCGTGCAAGCTGTGGGGCGCGCGGTGGAGCCGGCGGATGGTGGCAAGTGGGTCTGAGGAGAGGGTCATACGTTGATGGCATGCACCAACTGTGCACACACCTTCGGCACACCCCACTGCTAAGCCTGCAGCATACAGCATGCATACCTCGGAGACGAAGATGCCGTGGAAGCCGTATGGCACACGCTGGGGCAGGTGGATGGTGGCAACAGGATTAGAGGAGAGGGACTTGGCGTCGAGCACCACCACCGAGGACTCACTGGTGGGGAAAGGGGGAAAAAGGGGTGCAGGGAAGGTGAGTAACCCAGGGAGGGGACAGTGGAGGCAGGTGTTGGGGAGAGTGCGAGGGGGGGGGGGAAGGAACACAGTGGGTATGAGGAGCAGGGAGAGGGAGGAGAGCACATAAATAAGCACAATGGTGTCGTGGACCACCCACTTGCTTGCAGCCACTCTCTCTGTGTTATCACCATCAACTCACTCTGTGTTAGCACCATCAACTCACTCTGTGCTAGCGGCATCGACTCACTCTGTGCTAGCACCATCGACTCACTCTGTGCTAGCACCATCGACTCACTCTGTGCTAGCACCATCAACTCACCCTGTGCTAGCACCATCGACTCACTCTGTGCTAGCACCATCGACTCACTCTGTGCTAGCACCATCGACGCACTCTGTGCTAGCACCATCGACTCACTCTGTGCTAGCACCATCGACTCACTCTGTGCTAGCACCATCGACGCACTCTGTGCTAGCACCATCGACTCACTCTGTGCTAGCACCATCGACTCACTCTGTGCTAGCACCATCGACTCACTCTGTGCTAGCACCATCGACGCACTCTGTGCTAGCACCATCGACTCACTCTGTGCTAGCACCATCGACTCACTCTGTGCTAGCACCATCGACTCACTCTGTGCTAGCACCATCGACGCACTCTGTGCTAGCACCATCGACTCACTCTGTGCTAGCACCATCGACTCACTCTGTGTTGGTGTCATGAACGAACGAAAGCACGTAACCATCGTCCTCCTCCGCCCCAGGCTCGTTACTCCGAGGCACAAACACAGGCTCGGACCCGAACCTTCCCGGCCCATGGTTGAAGAAGCCCGAGACGCAGCCGCCGACAGTGTAGTATGGTGCAGTGAGGTCGGGAGCTTCTGAGAGGTCGATCTTTGCCACGCCGCAGATGCGGGTTATGCCGTCGAATGCGGCACAGTAAACGTAGCGTTGCTTGCTGTGGGGGGTGAAGGGAAGGAGGGGCGAAGAGGGGAGGGAAGGCGTAAATCATTAGACATGAAAGACAATACTACAAGGACGTCCGAATATCTCGATCTCACCGCCCCATAGGGCCCGTTCAGATGCGTGCGACGCCGAGCTACCCCACCGACACACAACTCACTGCCCCATGTGGCCTTGATGGATGCGAGGAAAGTCAGGCAGCAGCCAGCCCAAAAATCAAGAAAGTTCCACCAGCATCCACCGTCCCTCCACTCACCGCCCCATGAAGCCCTCATGGATGCGCGGAAAGTCGCAGCCAAACGTGGTGAGCTGGCGCTGACTGGCCTTGCCCGTGGCCAGGTTGAAGCGGAACTCGTAGCTGAAGGGAGGTGAGAGAAGGGAGGGAGGGAGGGAAAGGGGGGAGAGAGACGAATGGGAAGCCGAGCATGGGGGGGGGGAGAGGGAGCAAAGGAAGGATGGGGGAGGAGGAGAAAGGAAGGAGAGAGGAGGAGGGCGGAGCGCGATAGACACAAGAGGTAGGGAGCGGAGACGAATGCGCATGCAGCTGTGGCCACACGTGGTCCTAACCACGCTCAAGCAGCAATCACAGCCTGGCGGCCTTGTCTGCCTCAAACTGCTCCAGCTCTTGAACTTATTGAAGCAAACTCTTCACGCGTAGTCGCAATCAATCAGCCACAACTCACTACAATCACCCAGCCCTGAGCACTCACAGCCGCGCAGCCTTGTCCGCCTCAAACTGCTCCAGCTCCAGATTCATCTCATTGAACCGGCTCGCAATCAGCACCACCTCCTTGACTCCCTCCTCGCTCTCCTCCTCCCAGGCATTTGCCGTGTGGAAGATGAACAGTGCCGGCAGCTCGAACCACCGCATCTCCGCCTCACTCTCCGCGTACCGAGGCAGAATGCCGAACCTGGCCGGCCGGTCCGGGTTCCAGAGGAACGGCATCTTGCCCTTGAGAATCTCTTTGGGATTGAACTCTAGGGGTAGGTCCATGAAGATCGCGTAGTTCTGTGTGATGGCGAAGTCGTGCATCATGACGGGCGCGGGGATGGTGATGGGCACGGGGAGACCCATCTTCCCCTCTTTTGAGACCACTCGGTAGGTCACGAAGGGGGCCTTGGACCCGTAGCCGTACGTGAACAGCTCGCCTGAAGGGGGATGAACACGGGGAGAGGCGACGGGGGGGGGGTGGGGGGGGGTAGGGTGAGAGGTGGAGAGGAGGGAGGCACCTGGTGAGTAAAGGGCGGTGCAGAGTTGGTGAAATGTGTGGAGAGGGGTTTGGGTGGGTGCAGTGCACCGAGGTCCGCTCTCATACGAAAGGCAACCAGGTAGGAACCAGGGGGGAAGGACAGCAGCAGCCGTACCGGTGACAGGGTCGACTTTGGGGTGTGCAGTGAGCGGGTGCTTCAGCTTCCCCTCGTACGTCATCCTGCCCTTCGTCTCCAGATCCCCGTCCTGCAGCACCTGCAGCGCGTACGGTGCATCCCCCTCGTGCAGCGCCTGCAGCCCCCCCGCGTGGAAGATGAGCGCAGTGTTCCCCGTGCCGTCCCCCTGAGATAGGTCCAGTACGCCCAGCCACCCGCGCAGCTGGTGCAGGAGGATCTTCCCGAGCCCCGCGTAGCCAATCATGTCGCCGATTTTGAGGAACTTGGCGCGCTTGTAGGCCTCTTCCTGCGCCAGGCGGCTCGTGCGCACGTAGCGGTTCACGTAGCTGGCTTTGCCGTCCTTGATGCGCACGCCGTGCAGCATGCTGGCGGGAGGAGGATGGGGAGGGGGGAGAAAAGGAGGGAGGTGAGGGGAGGCTCTTCCTGCGCCAGGCGGCTCCGAGCCGTGCGCACGCCAGGAGGGAGGAGATGGGAGAGGACAGGGGCGGGGAGGGAGAGGCGTATGGGGAAGGCGGGAAGGGATCGGGAAAGGGTCGTTCGTCCGCTTGGTTCTACTCGCTTATCTCGGCGCACGCTCCTCCCAGTCCCATCGCGCGCACTTGCGTTCATCCGGGCGCGAACCAGAGCCTGAGGGGGAAAGGGGGCGCACGATGCCCTCGCACCCCCTCACTCATCCGAGCACGATGCCCCTCGCTCGCGCTACTAGTTGTAAGCTGCCGCGCTCGCCGCTCTCTCCGCATCGATTTCACCGCTTCGCCCACCGCATCACACGCACCGCGTGTACGGAGTATCGCGTCGACTCACCCGTCGCCGTCGAATAGGTGGTAGCTGAAGGTGGGCGCGAACTTGGCGTTGGGCCCGTTGCGCACGAACTCGCCATTCAAACTCTCCTGCGAGGGGGGCGCGGGGAACGCGGGGAACGCGGGGAACGCGGGGAGCGCGGAGGGGCGTGGGATGACGCGGGAGGCAGGGCGGATGAAATACGAAGGGCGCTCGAGTAGATACGACGACAGCACGACTTACCAAGCGTGTTGTACGGGCGATGACGGGGAAAACAAGTGCTGTAACGAGCTCACAGATGGCAAGTCGACACGCGAGAAGGATCATCGGAGGCCCGCGTGGCGCGAACTTACTGGCAGATGGCCGGTGACCGGGAGGTCAGCGACGGGTCCGACTTCCTTATCCACGGGAGCGAACACGCCCTCGAGGTATGTAGTGTTGGGAGGTGTCTTGATCATCGCATTCAGCAGTCGCTCAATGGCGTCGCACAGCCAGTTCGCGTAGCTCTGTGATGGTGGCAGTTTCGGATGCGACTGAACCAGCGGCTTCTCCTGCTCGTTGCTGGCGACGCGTCGCACCATGGTGGCGTTGCGATTGGCCTATGAGGCACGTGTGTGAACGACGCCAGGAGGCGAGAGGTACAAAGCAGGACAAAGCGCACCCTGGTGTCGACAAGCTTTCTTCTTCTAGGGCCAAGCACAGCTTATTCAACGAAAAAGCGGTGCACACTATTGCGGGGGAGGTGAGTGATATCATGTGGCAATGGCTGCTTGTGGTTGGAAATCTGAGTTGAGCAGAATGGACGATCCAGATTTAGGTCTGAGGGCGGATGCCCCTGCAAACTGCGTGGAGAACGAAGACGCGACGCGAAGGATGATGACTTGTTTTCGAGTGACTGCCCGCGGTTCGTTGGATGGTGCATGGAGTTTTGAAAGTCTCCGCTGGCGTAGGTCGAAACTGCAAAGGCTTTCTATTTTGGGGCAAATTTCTTGACGTGGGCTGTCGAGTCTTCCCAAGTTCCCTTGGGCAAGCGACAAACTTTTGAGCTTCGAGTCGACCCTGTGGCCACGTCACGGACGACCTGGCATCGTTAAATCAAAACTAGGAATCTGAGGGAAATTCCTGACGTGGTGCGATGCTCACCCTCCACGGGTTATTCCCCATACGGACGGACCTGTGTGGATACCATATTTCAGTTTGGTTCATGAACTAAGAGCATGTTCAAAGTGTCTGTGGCTCCAACGTCAGCCTTAATCCGACACAAAAAACAGGCTCCCCGCCCCTCTACAGTTCTAATACGCCAAAGATCCCACAACCTCGGAAACAATATAAGCAAATTTGCCTGGGTGGCACAGCAATATTCGTCACACGCAATTTCCTACATTATCGGAGCTTGCGTTAATAGAATACGACTTGTACTTTGAACGCCGACGGGAGTATAGTCGGCTTACTAGCATGCCCGACGTCGGATTTTCACCCGCGTCGGGTTACTTTGAACACGCTCTAAGGGTTAATACTGGGCGTATTTCATGTGCACATCGAACCATCTGCAGTAAAGTAATTACAACTTCGTGCAGCAGATTCTACCACTCGGGAAGAATCGATGAAGGTATGTCCACTGATATCATGTTGCCAATTCTTTCTTCAGTCAAATTAGTCTTGAATGTTTTTTGCAGGAGGCATTTAGCTGTCCTACCTTTTGAAGAACCCTTGCCAGTCATGCAACCTAAACCCACAGCCACTGCTGACGGCATGAGCTAATCCGTCTCTCCACCACCGCCTCCATCCTCTTCCTCCTCACTCGATAAAATCGTTAGAGCCCCTCCACCACCCGCCCCGGCATCCTCTCCAATTTCCCCACCAGCATCCTCCCCCTCTCCCCCCCCCTCTTCCTCCTCATCCCCACCCTCATCCGCCCCTTGCTCCTCCTCACCATCTTCCCCTTCCTCCCCACCACCCCCCTCCTCCTCCCCTCCTCTGCGCCACGCGCGCCTCTGCAGCGTGGCCTTCTGCATCCGTTTCTCCAGCCGTGAGTTGAACCGGCTCAGCTTGCGCCGCTCTGCCGACCGAAACCAGAACAGAATGTCCCGCTCGCGCCCGCGAGGCCGCAGCCCCACGTACCCAAACACCGGGTCCTCCTGCCCCACGCGCCGCCTCTTTCTGAATGTGGATACTGCTGGTCCTGCTGACGCCAGCACAGGGCGTGTGAGCATGCCCCCGCGCCCCCCTGCTCCCTGCTGCTGCATCCCCCCTCTCTCCATCTGCGGCCCACGATCCTCCAGCTCCCCTGTCAGGCCCTCCCGCGCCCTCTTCCTCCGCAGCTGGATGCGCTCCCACACGCCTAAAGAGGGGCGCCCGGAGCCCTCAGGGGACTCCCCAGCAGCACCAAACTCAGGGGAAATGGGGCTGCCTGACTGGGGAGCCGCGGGGGAGGAGGCAGGAGTGGGGATTTGACCGGACGCCGCTGCAAGCAAGGCTGCGTTGGAAGAGTGACGGGGAACGGTGGGGAGGATGGGGTTGCGAGGCTGGGCAGCGGCAGCAGAGGAGCGCGAGGGCTTTGTGGTTCTGGTGGACATGGGGCGCGAGGAGCGCTGCAGCAGCTGCAGCAGGAGAGGCGAGATGGCCCGGCCTGCTGAGGCAGGAGCAGCAGCAGCAGCTGTGGGCGTGCGTGTGGGAGTCGCCATGGGAGTCGTGTCAGCAGGAAAAAGTGCAGCAGGGATTGGAGCTGCAGCATCAGTGGGTAGTGCGGCTGCGCCCGCTGGCACAGGGGGCGCATCAGGCATGACTTCTATGTTCTCCAGGAGCTCATTCACCGTCTCCTCATCCGCCTCGTCCAACTCCGGTATCCACAGCTCCACCCCGATCGCCGCATCCACTTCCTCCTCTCCCGGCCCCCCCGCTGCCGCCCCCTCTCCTCCTGCCGTGGCATCGTCGTCCTCGTCATCATCGTCATCATCTGACATCAGATCGAGCATTGCGACGTCAGCAGCGCTGACTGGACGGTTACCAGTCCTGGCTCTCAGCTTCTTAAGCCGCCGCTGCAATTCTTTCTGCCCATCCTCTGCTGCCCGCTCCCCTCGTCCCCTCCCCCACCCGTGCTCCTTCCCTGCTCTGTCCTTAGCAGCCTTCAGCTGCACTTGGAGATCCCGAACCTGCTCCTTCAGCGACCGAACCTGCACCCGAGCCTCGGAGAGCCTTACTTTCAAGGTTCGGACGTCGGAGACTCTGTCTCGGGCGAAATGCTGCAGGCGGCGCTTCTTGGCGAGGAGCGACCTTCGAGGGAGGAAGAATGGGGGAGAACGGTTTGGAAAGGTAACATTAGGCACAAAACGGAGGTCGCAACATTGTCACAAGAAGTACAAAGAAGCCAGCAGTGAGGCTAAGCTAACTAAGTTACTATAAAATTATGTGAGAGTGATGATCCACAAGGCTAGGCCCACCCCAAAGCACCTACCTGATGGTATCGGCGCGGGGCTTTCTGCGAGGTGACTTTTGAGTCGACTCAAAAGTCACCTTTCTACGTGAATCCCCATGATCACTGCCCCAACAACCCCTCCAGCCAAACCGCACCATAAGCCGCCTAGACCTGCACCAACCCCACCTCCTTCCTCCTTCCCTCTCCCACCCACCTGATGGTGTCGGTTTCCTCGATGTGAATCCCCACGCCCACTCCCCCCCCCCCCCATCCAACGCCAACCTGATAGCGATGGTTTCCTGACCCATCCTACAGTCCCTCCCACTTCCCACCCACCTGATTGTATCGGTGTCCTCGATGTGAATCCCCACGTCCACCGCCCCCCGCTCCGTCTGAGCAAACGCCTGCCAGCCCACAAACACCAGCCGCCGCTTCTTTGGGCCCTGCTGCTGCTGGCAGCGAGGAGGGATGGGGAAAGATGGGTGAGGGAAAGGGAAAGGGGAAAGGTGAGCATGAGCAAGGGCGAGACACCTGCCAGCCCACAAACACCAGCCGCTGCTTCCTGGGGCCCCGCTGCTGCTCATAGTCGCAGGAGGTGATGGGCGGTAGAGAGGGGGGAAATGGGAACGATGAGCGAGGACGAAATGTCAGGGGAGTGTGAAGCGTGAGGGAGTATGAGACGGCACTCACCCGGTTGTGCTCTGCTGCCCACGAGGCGTCGCCTGCATTCCTCCAGTTGCTGGGCGCGCGCACCAGCACGCCGCGCTCCCTCCCCTTGGCCACATCCCCCACCTCGTACCCCCCAAGCTGCCCCTGCGCCTGCCCCTCCACAAACGGGCCCCCCTGCACGACGGCCTTGCAGATCCCACACAGGTGGGGGAAGAGCTTGTGCAGGAAGGCCAGAATGGTGTTGCACTCCCGGTCGAACTTGTTCCTGCCAGCGTCTCCTCCACGCTCTATCGCCGGCAGGTAGAACTTGTGCACTGACACGCCCCTGCCCAGTGCAGGGGCCGGCAGATTCACCACAATTTGCAGCTGTGGCGGCTGCTGCTGCGCCTTCTGCGTGCCAGCAGCCTCCACTTCGCCTCGCCGTGTTCCCCGCCCCGTTCCCAGGGATGGTCCCTTGCCCGACGCCTGAACCGGCACCTCTACCGGCCCTTGCCCCTGCGCGACCGTGCCCCTATCAGGCGCCTTCAGCCCCAAGACGTAGCCCTTCGTCGGTGCGTCCGCTGCTCCCTGTCCCTGCGCTTGAGTCAACCCCTGCGCCTCTCCCATCCGCGACCCGCGCCCTCCCTCCAGCTCTGCTCCTGGCCCCGCGGGTGGCGGATTCAACCCCTGCATGCCCTCCCACGCGGCCTTCCCCTGTCGCTGCCTCGACCCCAGCCCGCCCACCTGCGCTCTCTGCCATGCGTCCGGAGGTGCCGCCCCTGCGGTGACAGGTGCGGGGCCTGCAGGTGCGGGGAACGTGGAGGCTGGGGGGACGCGGCGGGAGCGGTAGCCAGCCGAGTCAGTGGGGCGATCTAACAGCGTGTGTAGCGAGGGCATGGTCAATAGACTCGACTGCTGTTGCCCTTGCTGCTGAAGTTGCTGCTGCTGCTGCTGCAATTGCTGTTGTTGCTGCTGCAATTGCTGCTGTTGCTGCTGTTGCTGCTGTTGCTGCTGTTGCTGCAGCGCCAGCTGCTGCTGCTGCGCGAGGGGCACTGCTGGCAAAAGCCCGCCCGCAGGAGCAATGCGCCGAGGTCCGAGAACCTGTGCGAAGGACGTTCCTGGCACGGGCGCAGGCGGCAGAACAGGAGGCCTCAACCAACTCACTTGCTGGGGCTGCAGCTGCGGCTGAGGCTGCAGCTGCGCCTGCGCCTGCGGCCGTGGCTGCTGCTGCTGCTGCTGCTGCTTCTGCTGCTTCTGTTGCTGCTGCTGCTGATACTGTTGTGCCAGCAGCTGCTTTGCCGGCCCAGGAACTCCCGCCCCTCCTGCAGCTCCTGCAGTCGCCGCTGCTGGTTTAGTCCCCACTCCTTCTCCCCCTCCCACCCCCCCTCCCTCTTGCTGCCTGCGCCGCTCCAGCCACGCGCTGACTGCCGCCAGCGCCACGTTAACCTCCGCTTCCAAGAAGTACTTGCGCGGCCGCCCGCGCTTCCCCTGCTGCGAGTCCAGCAGCAGCGCCGAGGCCAGCCGCACGCACTGCTCCACGGACGCCGTCGCGCGCTGCCGCTTCAGCACCCACTTCACGCCCGTCTCCAGCGCCGCCAGGGTCTGCGGCGCGATCGCGTCGTTGTCGTCAGCGCCGGGCAGGCGCGGCCGCATGTGGATGTAGAGGAGCTTCTCCACGGCGGTTTCGAGCTCCTTCGGCGGTACGGAGAGGATCGCGTTCAAGGCGCTGTTGTCCGTCTCCTCGTCTTCGTCGTCGTCCTCCAGATCGACTGTTTCCGGAACTGCGCCTCCTGCTGCGCCGGATGCTGGCGCAGCTGCTGCAGCGCCTGCCGCCGCTGTGCTTGCCGCTGCTGGCTGCGCAGCAGCTGCTTTCGCAGTGTCTGGTGCGGGAGTTGCCGGTTTGCTTCCAGAGGGCCCCGGTCCCAGAGGGTTCGGCATGTCGCGCACCGCTTGGATCTGCGCATCGATACTTGCGAGAGATGCGGCAGCGGCGGGAGCGGAGGATGGTGCCGGTTGAGACGCACCGGGCGCTGGCGGAACGACGGGCGTAGTCGAGGCCGGACTAGGCGCAACGTCTTGCGCGGGAGCAGCTCCCGCGGGAACGGGAGCGGCAGGGGTTGCTGGCGGAACAGCTCCCGCCGGGGAAGCGACTGGCGCCGCGGGAGCAGCCTGCGCAACGGTGGCAGGCGAGTCCCCTTCCGCCTTCTCCCCTGCAGCCGGACTGGGCTGCATCGTTTCAGTCGCATCAGCCTGCGCTTGCGCTTTATCCGACGCCGCTTGCGCCTTCTCCGCCTCTGCTCCGCCTTCCACTTCCGCTCCACCGTCGTTCGCTCCTTCTTGGTTCGCCAGCTCAGTCGCCCCTGCTGCCGCGTCCTCCTTTGTCGCACCGTCTCCTGCCGCCTCTGCTTCGGAATCCTTCGGAGCCTCACCACCGGGGCCCGCATCTGGCTCCTCGCTCGCGGTTGTGACATTTTCCGCGTCAGCACTGGGCTCCGCGACATCCGCCGTGCCGGCCGCTGTCGCGTCTGCCGGCGCTTCTAGCGGCACTTCCACGACGTCGTCATCCTCGGACGAGCCTTCCTTACATGGCAATTCGTCGGGTTCCTTTTCTGCCATCTTCCCTGGTTCGTCTGACGGGGTTGTGCACTCGTAACTCAAGTCTACGATGGGTTCAAGATGGAGTGGGGAGGGTTGCTGCCTAGCTGTTACGAAACGGTAAGAGCTGTTGGGAGCTGGGACGTCTGCGGGTAACCAGGAGGAAGTGGAACAGTCTTGCCGATCTGACACTGGGAAAGGGAGAAGGCCGATGGAACCCTGACAGAAAGCAGGAAGGGCGTTGGGGTTTCGAGAAACTGAACACGGAAGAGGGAGCTTGATCTGCTCGGCTTCACCCATTGGCCGAAAACGATGTTATTGATCGTGCGAACCAACCTTCTGCAGTGTGCAGAGCAATGCGAAACCAGATCTCAAGCGGTGGTGGCGGAAAGTCCTCAGATTAGGCACCAATCGAACGGCTCACGTCGCACGAAAGAAACAACGCAACCCGATCCGCGTCCGATGTCGTTCGCAGTTCATTTTGCGTTGTTGGCATCAGTGTGCTGCGAATGTTGAGCTGCTGTCGGAGTATGCGAACACACCCCTCATCTGTGCAAAAGAAGATATTGGACATTGGCAGGGCCTGTTACTATAATTCGTAGGCAAAGTATAATAAGCCTTTACTTTACACCCTCGTAGTAAAGTAAACCCAACAAGCGTGACGATGGCCAAGACGCGGTAGTTGATAAACTGTACTATTTTTCCATCCAAGGGAATGAAAGTTTCTATTGGGCTGCCAGGTAGGCGATGTACTAGGGAGTTAGGTGCATAAGGTTGATCTTGCATGAAGGGTTGTAACAAATATCTTTAGAAAGCGAGGCTGGGTGTTCAATGGAACTTGTAGCGAAACGAGAGAGGTCGAAGCGCCTTTGTCCTTCACGTTTTTTGCCAGAGCTGACTCCGCATGCCACGTGGATTGTTGCTCAGAGAGGGGCATGTTGGCGGGAAACCCAAAGTCACGTCTTGGCCTCGGCATGCATGACAACATGCCCTCCCCGGAAGCTCGACACTGATTGGCCAACCAGTTTCAGACGCTTTGACTGAATGCCCCCCCTCCATTTTCACATCATCGCTCATCAGCAGGTGGTGATCTCGAGGCCAGCTGCTGCTTGTGCATCAGGAGCTTCACTTCCTAGTCAGTCTCAAACAGGCTATGGCGGCATCACACGTATCCTGAAAACTATGACGTTATTCCGTGACACGTTGCTGGCTACCCTTTACTCCTCCCTTCCCAGGCTATTAGCTACTGCTGAATAAGTAGCGTCTAGAGGAAAGAAGCCGCCATCATGTTTAAGGGACTCAGGACGAAGAAAGAGCGGTTCGACTTTAGGTTCCGCTTTCACGCGACGCGGGTAAGTGGAAACGCCTTCGACCACTATTGAAAGTTATAATGGCGCGTTGCATTTGCATCTCCGGATAACGTGCTTTCCTTCCACCTAAACGCGTTTATTCAGGTACCGCCGTCGGGTTTTGACAACCTCGTGGTATTCGTTGTGCCCGCCGATTCCGCCAAGCCCGAGGGGCAAACCCCCAAGGCGGCGGTGAAGAATGGGTCGTGCGCGTGGAGCGGGTCGGTCACCGTCACCGCGAAGCTCACTCGCCACGCCAAGGCCAAGGCGTACGAGCCCCGCCCGTACCGCTTCGTCGTCTCGTCCGTAAGTGCTCGTTATAATCATATAATTATTCACTTTCTCCTGATATCCTCTCATTTAATTCCGGGTTGCAGACGACCTAGTTTTTTTTTCCTGTTTTTTTCCATGAGGCTTCTATTATGCGGGTAATGCCCGCGGCGCAAGAATGCATTCCCTGTTGTCATCCGCTTCGATATATGAGTCCCCGATCCCCCGATTCTCTCAGAACTCGTTGCGATCAGGCGTGCTGGGCGAGGCGACGCTGAACCTGGCGGAATTCGCGGGCTTCGGCGGGCTGGACCAGCGGACGCTTCCATTGAAGAATTGCAGCGCGGGAACCATCCTCCATGTGAGCCGGTCGCTTTTAATGAGTGCAATAGAAAGTAGTTACATGGCACTGAAGCTATCAGCTGGTCGGTGGTGAAAAAGACTTTAATCAACGGGAAGTGGGGATGAGAATACTCGCTTTGCTGCCCGGAACAAGGTCCCCTGATGGTTCCTTGGGCTAACATGCGGCGTTGCCTCCCTACCGCTTGTGTCTTGCAGGCGACCGTTCAGTGCACCGCGCTCGACCCAAGGTACGCCTGCAACCACGACTCTAGAATCAGCAGCTTCGCCTCTGATTCCCCCAGCGCATTTCTTCTTGATCTTCCTATCGATTGCCGTGGCTAATCCCCGTGGGTGGTGCGGTGCGGTGCGGTGCGGTGCGATGCGCGCAGGGACGAGGAGGAGAGCGAGCACGAGGAGGTGGCGACGAGGCGGGCGGCGCCAGGGGCCGCCAGTGGCCGGCACGCCGCTGCTGCGGGCAAGGCTGAAGCCGCCGCTGCTGCTGCCGCTGCGGCCAGTGGCAGCAAGGGAAGAGCTGGAGAGGCACAGGTAGGCACCCTCCTTCCGCGCACAGGTAGGCACCCTCCTTCCGCGCACAGGTAGGCACCCTCCTTCCGCGCACAGGTAGGCACCCTCCTTCCGCGCACAGGTAGGCACCCTCCTTCCGCGCACAGGTAGGCACACTCCTTCCGCGCACAGGTAGGCACACTCCTTCCGCGCACAGGTAGGCACACTCCTTCCGCGGACGCCTCCGTTCACGGCTTCAGGCGGAGCCCTGCGCTCTGCAGTCGTTTAAACACCGTGGCCGGTTCCCCCTTCCCCGTGTGCATCCGCAGAGGCAGCATCCTCAGAGCGCAAAGCAGCAGGACGAGGGGTCGAAGCAGGCGCAAAAACAGGAGGCGCAGAAGCAGGAGGCGCAGAAGCAAGAGGCGCAGAGGCAGGAGGCGCAGAAGCAGGAGGCGCAGAAGCAAGAGGCGCAGAGGCAGGAGGCACAGAGGCAGGAGGCGCAAAAGCAGGAAATGCTGGCCGCCAGTCAGCCCGTTGCTCGGTCCTCCTCAGGCGTCCCTCCCGCACCCTCCCAGGTGAGCGCGCTTTGTCTCGCACAGCGTGAACGCACATGAAACGGTGAAGAAAAGAGACAGTAAGAAAGTGAAAGGGACGGAGAAGCGGAAATACACTTGTTTCTGTGTCTGCTGAGAGTGCTATACTGGTTGGCGGAACCTGTAGGAAACAAAGAGGAAATGCGCACTGCCGCGGGGTTGCACGTGAAATGCGTATTCCCGCCAGGTGACTGCCTACACGCCCGTGTTTGTTGCTGATATCCAAAGCCTCCCTCTTCCCAACCCGAACCCACCACTACCCACCTCCCCCCTACTCCCCCCAACCCCCCTCCTGCTCCGCCGTCCGCCGTGCGTCAGGACGAGGACGCGTCCACCGACTCCTCTTCGTGCGACACCACCCCGCGCACCACCGCCAGCACCGCCAGTGCCACTCCCAGCACCACCGCTGCCACCACCACCGCACCCACCACCGTCACAGCTGCTTACGCTGCTGCTGTTGCCGCTGCAGCTGCCAGTACTGCCGCTACTGCTGCTGCTGATTCGAGTGCTGCCGCGAATGTGGGTGCGGGTGCAGGTGCGAGCGCAGGTGCGAGCGCAGCTAGTGCAGCTGCCAGTGCAGGTGCGAGCAGCAGCGCGGGTGGGCGTGGGGGCCGTGGTGACTCCAAGCCCTCTGCAGCCTCGCCTCGGGTGGCGGGGAAAGAAGGGGGTGGGGTTGGCGGTGGCGGTGGGGGGATGTTCTTCTGGCGCTCCAGCAGCAGCAAGGACCGGGATAGGGACAGGGAGAAGGGCAAGGAAAAGGATAAGGGGAGTCTCATTCCCGCCTCGCCTCGATTCCGCTCCAAAAAAGAGCCCTCGTCACCGGTGATGCGCTCGCGTGACGCGTCGCCCAGTAGAGACGCGGCACGTGGCAGTGGGAAAGGGAAGGAAAAGGACAAGGAGGGTGAGAAGGGGGAGGAATGGGCCAAGCGATCGCGATCGCAGGAGAGAGGGGCGGACAGGCAGGAGAACGAGGCAGGTGCTGGTTCTAGGGCTAGGTCGGCATCTAGAGACGGCAGGAGGCAGGCGAGTGAGGGGCGGAGTGTGGAGAAGGAGAGGGAGGAGGAGGATTGGATGGGAGCAGAGGGGGAGAGGCGGCAAGGGCGGAAGAAAGAGTCCGGGATCGATCAGGACTTGGCGTGGCTGCGGCAGCAGGAGCTGCAAAAACAGCAGGAAGTACAGAAGCAGCAGGAGTTAAAGGAGCAGCAGGAGTTAAAGGAGCAGCAGGAGATAAAGGAGCAGCAGGAGATGCAGAGACTGCAGGAGATGCAGAAGCAGCAGCAGCCGCCAGTGAGAAGGGAAGAGGAGGAGGATGATCCGGAGTGGGTGGGGCAGCAGAGGGCGGAGGAGGAGGAGTTGCGGCGGCAGGAGGAGGCGTTGGAGGAGGAGGCGAGGCGGGTGCGGATGGAGCGGGAGAAGCAGCGGCAGCGGAAGGAGGAGATGCGGCGGCAGCAGCAGCAGCAGGGGGGGCTGGGGGTTGGGGCGGCGGAATTCACGCCCACGCACAGCCCTGCGTTGCAAGGCATGGCGGGTGGGGGGCCTGGGAGGCGTGGGCCGGTGGCGTTAGGGAGGCAGTGCCGGCGCCTGCAGCCGCGTCGCCGGTGGCGGCGGTGTCACCGGGCAAGGCGCTTGGGGGGTGGAGCAGACGGGCCAGCAGCAAGGACGCTCATGAGGACGGCGCTGGCGCTGCTGGCACTCATGGGGCTCACGAACCTCATAGCGCGCATCACATTCCCGCAGCAGCAGCCCCGGCTGTGCTGCCCCCTGCGCCTGGCGCAGCTGCCGCCTCCCCCAGGTCGGCCCGCTCCCCCTCGCCAGTTGGCACTCCCACTCAGCGGCCAGGGAGGCAGTATGATGACGTGGCAGGGATGGAGGGTGGCGGAGGGGGGCTGGAGGGTTCCCCGTACAAGTACGGTTCCCCCAGTGCGCGGATGGGCGGAGGGGGGAGAGACAGCCCGTATAGTTACCGCAGCCCGGACCCGTCCCCAGGGATGATGGGGTACCCCTTCCAGGAGGCAGCAGGCGGCGAGGAGCAGCAGCAGAGGTATGGCCAGGGCAGCGGCAGCGCTGCATACGCCTCTCAAGCCGGCGCTGCCCCGGACTCGCTCGCGCTGCCCGACGCTGCCAGTCCAGGCGATTCTCCCCCCTCTGGCGGCTACCCCGGCAGCAGAGGCTCGGGGAGGGGGTACTTCGGCGCAGCTGACGCTGGCGAGCGGCGGGGAGGGGGAGGGGGAGGCGGGGGAGGGCAGGATGCGGAGATGCATGTGCGCAGGGACTATGCAGCAGAGGTGTCAGCAGCGGAGGCGGCGATAGAGGAGCTGCAGAGGGACTGCGTCAAGTACCAGACCACCAGCCGCAACCTCTCCAGGGAGGTCGAGAGCCTCCGCAGCCAGCTGGCCGAGGCCTTCGTGCAGGACCAGCGGGCCGACATGGCCATCGGCCAGCTGAAAGATGAGAGGGATAGGTTGCAGGAAGAGGTGAACATGCTCCGGGCGGGGCTGGGCGGCAGGGGCGGCGGGGCGGCGTCGTCTGCAGGCGGGGCGGGGGAGGATGAGGGGATAGACGCGAGCTCGTATGTGGCGGATGGGACGGAGAGTGAGTGGAGCGTGGGGGGCGGGGGGGGCGCGGAGGGGATGAGGCGCGTGGCGGGGCTGCTGGAGGAGGCGGAGTTTCTGAGGGGCACGGTGGGGGGGCTGTCGGCGCAGGTGGAAATGCTGCAGCGGGAGAACGAGGCGCTGCTGGAGCAGGCGGAGAGGGCGGAGGCGGAGGCGGGGAAGTACAGGCGGGACGCGGAGGAGCTGTTTGAGGCGCGGCAGGAGACGGACGCGGCGCTCAAGAGGCTGCAGAAGCAGGCGGAGGAGCGCGAGGCGGAGTGGCAGCAGCGCGTGCGCGGCATGGGGGAGGCGCAGGCGGCGCTGGAGGAGCAGCTGGCGGAGTTGCGGGGCGGGGGGCGTTGGGGAGGGGGAGGAGGGAGCGGGGGAGGGGGAGGGTCTGCTAGGGCGAGTCCCCTGGGCCCGAGAGGGAAGGGGGAGGGGCCGGAAGGGGTGGAGGAGGGGTTGGCGCTGGGTGAAACGGTGGGCATGAGCGGGAGCAGCAGCAGGAGGAGCAGGGGGGGAGCGGGAGGGGAGGGCGAGTGGGGAGAGGGCGAGCGGGGGGGAGTGGACCCGAGCATGGTGCTGCAGCTGAGGCGCAAGGTGGAGGAGCTCGAGAGGGAGGCGCAGGAGCTGACGGTGGAGAGTCTGGAGCTGGCGGCGGGGCTGAACGTGGCGAACAAGGAAGGCGAGGTGAAGGACGCACTCATCGAGCAGCTCAAACACGAGCTCATTGCGGCCGGCAGGAAGGACTCCATCGCTGCTGCCGCCGCTGCCTCGGGGTTTGCTGCGTTTTTCACCAAGGGGAAGGCCGAGGGTGGGGGGAGGAGTGTTGAGGCAGTGATAAACTCGGGGCCGGCTGCGAGTGAGAAGGATGTGGGGAAGCTGCATGGAAGGATCGTGGAGCTGCTGCAGGCGCTCAAGGAGCAGAGCAAGGAGGCGGAGGAGGCGAGGGAGGAGGCGGTGCAGCTGCGGAGCAAGATGCGCGTGAGTGAGATGGCCACGGCGCGCGCCATGGACCGGCTGAGCATCTTGGAGGAGTATGAGCGCAAGGCGAAGCAGGTGGAGGGCGAGCTGGAGGAGACGCGGAAGACGTTAGCAGCGCAGAGGAGGCTGCGGGAGGAGCAGGAGATGCGTCATGTGGGGGAGGTGGAGCAGCTGAGAGAAGGTAAGAGGGACGCGGAGAACCGGGTCACCAGGTACGGCGAGGAGGTTCGGCGGCTGGAGCGGCAGGGCGAGGCGGCGGTGAGGCAGATGGAGCAGGTGGGGGAGAGGCTGAGGGAGTTCTTCACCGCCCGGGCGGATGAGAGGGGAATGGGGAGTGATGAGTTGACGCTGGGGGAGCGGGCGGAGGGGTTGGATGTTGCTGGGAAGGTGGGGCTGGTGGTGGGCATGGCGGTGCAGTGGCAGCAGCAGGTGGGGAAGCTGGAGGGGGAGAAGGCGGGGCTGGAGGAGCAGGTGAGGGAGAGTGAGGCGCGCGTGCACGAGGTGGAGTCGACCTCGGGGGCGTGGCGGTCGGATAGAGGCGCGCTCGAGAAGAAGGTGGGGCGGCTGGACGAGCAGAGGCGGCTAGCGGAGTCGCGGGTGCAGGAGCTGGAGCTGCAGCTGGCAGCCATGCAGGAGATGCTGGAAGAGGCGCAGGCGGAGGCGGGTGCTGCTGCAGGGGCTGGGGCTGCTGGGGTTACGCTTGCTGACGTGGAGGCCCTGCAGTCGGCGAATCAGAAGTCGAGGAGGCGGGTGCAGGAGCTGGAGGGGCAGGTGAGGGGGTTGGAGGAGCGGGTGAGGGGGAAGGAGGCGGAGCTGGTGGCGGCACACGCGGCTGCTGCTGCTGCTGCTGCGGAATCAGCAGCAGCGGCGACGGCGGCAGAAGCAGTGGGGAGAGCAGGGGCTAGTGGGGGAGCAGGGGCAGGAGCGGGGGGAGCTAGTGCGGGCAGGGCGGAGAGGGAGCTGGAGGACGCGCGGAGGAGGGTTGAGGGGCTGGAGGAGGAGATAAAGCGCATGTCGGGGGAGATAGCGCTGGCGGGGGTGGGCAGGCGCGAGCTGGAGATGAAGGTGCTGCGGCTGGAGGGGGCGTGCGGCAAGCTGGAGAGCGAGCTGCAGGAGGCGAACGTGGGGCGGCGGAGGGCGGAGGAGAGGCAGGCGGAGGTGGAGGCGCAGCTGGCGGTGGCTGTGGACAGGGCGGAGACGCAGAGGGGCGTGGTGGCGGAGCTGGAGGAGCGGGTGAGCAAGGGCGCGGCCAGGGAGGAGGCGCTGGAGCAGTACCTGGCGGTGGTGCAGGGGAAGGGCAAGGAGGCGGAGCGGGAGAGGGAGAGGCTGGAGGGGCGAGTGAGGGAGGAGGAGGAGAGGAGGCGGGAGGTGGAGCAGAAGGTGGGGGAGAGCGAGGCGGCTGTGGTGAAGGCGAGGGAGGAGGCGGAGAGGGACGTGGGGGAGGCGAGGAGGAGGTTGGAGGAGATGGAGGCGCGAGTGGAGGTGTTTGAGAAGGAGAGAGAGTGGGCCATGGCACGGGCGGTCAAGGCAGAGGAGGGGCAGAGGCGGGAGAAGGCCGAGAGGGAGGCGGCGGTGGAGCGATTGACCACTGAGGTCGCGCTACTGACTCAGCAGCTATCGGCTCTGTCTGAGGGGGGGAGTGGAGGTGAGGGTGGTGACAGCCTGTCTGCAGTTGAGGCGGCGGAGCTCCGGGCAGCGAAGGGCGAGCTAGAGGACAAGCTACGCCGTGCTGAGGGGGATTTGAGGGATGCGGTGAGAGAGAAAGTCAAGCTGGAGGGCGAGCTGCAGATGGTGAAGGAGGCAGTGGGGGAGCTGAAGGGTAGGGAGAGCTCTCTTCTGGGGGAGGTAGATGCGCTGAAGAGAGAGGTGGCGGCAGCAGCGGAGGCAGCAGGTGAGCTGTCCCGGGCGAGGGAGCACAAGGAGCAGCTAGTGGCGCAGCTGGCCAAGGCAGAAGCTTCTGTGAAGGAGCTGCAGGTGGCGCGGGAGGAGTTGGAGCAGGAGCGCAAGGGACTGATAAACCAGGGCGTGGTGATGCAGGGGAAGGTGAAGGAGCTGGAGCGAGTGAAGGGCGAGCTGGCGCAGGCGAGGACGGAGCGGCAGGTGCTGGAGGAGCGGCGGCTGGCGCTGGCCATGAAGCTGGCCAAGATAGAGGAGTCCATGGAGGAGCTGGAGGACCTGCGGGCGCGCAGTGCATCGGTGGAGGGCGAGATGAGTCACCTGGCGAAGCAGGCGGAGCAGGTGCCGGGGCTGCTTGAGGACAGGGAGAAGCTACAGGGGAGGGTCAGGGAGCTGGAGGGGAGGGTGGCGGAGTTGGAGGGACGGGTGGGTGAGCTGGATGCTGCTGCTGCGGCGGCGGCAGGGGGGACGGCTGCTGCTGTAGGTGAGGGGGTTAAAGGGGGTGATGGTGAGGCTGCGGCTGCTGCTGCAACGGCGGCTGCGGCTGAAGCGACTGCGGCGGCAGAGGCAGCGGCGGCGGCAGCAGCGGCGAGGGCAGAGGCGTTGGTGGAGGAGGTGAGGCAGCTGAAGCAGCAGAACGCCGAGCTCAAGCGCGCCCTCACTGAGGGCAGCGGCGGCAGCACTGGTGGCAGTCACGCTGAGCCGTCCCCCCAGGGCATGGGCAGCAGGCCCATGGGAGCAGCGGCAGGGGGGCTGGCGGCAGCAGGGGGGGCGTTTGCGCGGGGGCGGATGGGGGGGATAATGGCGTCGCGGGGGGGCGGGGGGGATGCGGCGCTGGAGAAGCAGGTGGAGGAGCTGAGGCGGAGGACAGTGGCGCTGGAGGGCGAGGTGGGGCGCAAGGCGGAGGCGCTGGCCGCTGCTGAGAGGCGGCTGCAGGAAATGGAGGAGAGCGGAGGGGGTGGGGGTGGTGGGAGCAGATTGGTTGACATGGATGCTGCTGCTGACGAGCGCATCAAGACTCTTGAGGTAAGTTGGTGCTAGAGTGGGTGACATGGCCTGATGCGCACCAAGCCGGTTTCTCTGCTGCCTGCCTGCGTTGTTGCTGCACCTTTCCTTTCTTCTCTATGCTTCGACTTACCCCATGCTCCATGAGCCAAAGTGTTCACGCTGAGTCACACTGGAGCTTTGCTTGGCATAAAAGAACCCCCTGCTGACCGCCCTGTGTGTCTCTCCCGTGCGTGCAGGCGCAGGTGGCGGTGCTGCAGCAGCAGATTGATTCGCAGAGGGCAGTGGCGGAGGCAAGGGAGAGCAGCATGGGCGAATACGTGCAGCTGCTCACTGCTACTAATGACTCGCTGGCTGCTGGCACCGATGCTGCCACCATGCAGCTCAATAAGGAGGTGAGTCGCTTGGCTGCTGCTGAGTCAGCCATTCACTCTGCCCAACCTGTCTTCCTCTTTCCTCCCTTCCGCCTCCCTCCCCTGCTTCTTCCTTCACCTGCAAATCACCCATGGTCATGGGGCATCTCACCCGTCACACACATCACATGTCACATATCACTCTCATTGTTGTCTCATGCAACACACCCATGGCTTGCACATCTCGTGATAGAAGTCTAGTTTTGAGGCGCCTCAAAACTAGACTTCTCATGCAACGCACCCATGGCTTGCACATCTCGCACCTCATCTCACGCCTCTCTCCTCTGTGCACCTCAATCCAGCTGCTGAGGGCGCAGCAGCAGGTGGGCGAGCTGAGAGAGCGGGAGGCGGAGCTGCGCACAGCAGCAGCCGTGCATGATGCCGCCATTCTGGAGCTCAAGGAGGTGCGCTTCTCTTTTTTCATTTCGCTTGTCGGTTTTTTTTGCTTCCTGCTGTTGGTCTCTAGGCTATGGAATGGGCTGGCTTACTCGCTGGCTTACTCCGTTATGGTGTGTGATGCGCCCTGGCCCTTTCCTCCATGATGTCCGATGAATGTCACCATGATGAATGTCACCATGATGAATGTCACCATGATGATCCATGATGCACTGCCGCTGGGACCGTGCATGCTGTGGCGTCACCAGCACCAGCACTCTCACTCTCTCGTGCGCACTCATCATCGTTGGCCCCGCTGCCTTCTCCCATCCGCCCCCATGTGTCCTCACAGGAGGTGGCGAGTCTCCAGAAGAAGCTGTCGCAGCGGGTGCGGGGGGGCGGCAGCACGGCGGGCGGCATGGTGGAGCGCATGGCGCTGCTGGAGGCGGAGCTGGCGGAGGCCATAGACAGCAACAACCGCTACAAGGAGCAGCTCAAACGGTAGGGTCAATTTGTGACACGGGTATTGCTGCACCTTCGGTCGTGGTCTTTCCCTGTTGCAAGGGTGCGGAGCAGAGTGCGAGCTTGGAGGTCCACTGGAGCTTCACGGTTCACACCCTTATTTCTTCCTCTATGCTGCCCGCATCCAACCCCACTGCCTGTCGCCCAGGGCCTTGAGTGGGACAGGGAACGGTGTCGACACTCTTGCCACCGATGCCTCTGCTGCGACACATATGCCAGCAAGCCCCACCAAGCCAGCAGCAGTTTCAGCACCGGGGAATGAAGCAGAGAGGTCGCCGCAGCTGAAGGGGAGGGCGGCCAGCAGCAGCCCCATGGGCAGTGCTGGCAGCCCCATGTTGGGGAGTAGAAGACTTGCTGCCTCTCCTGCTGCCAGACCAAACCCCTTCGGACGAAGGTGAACCTTCCTGCAAGTCCCTAGGGGCGTTCTAACTTCCCACAAGGTTGAGAATGAAATGTAATTAGTGTTAACCCTATTCGTGTTTAGATATTTTGCCATAGAAGGAGCATATAGTCGTCGTTTGCATAAAGGCATGTTAGTTTGCATACGTTGGGCATATATACATTTCTTTAAACATTCACTGACAACTGACATACACCAAGCAATTAGGCGAAGCGGAGTCTGTTGCGTATTCTCGTGGCTACCGACATTCGCCGAGGAAAATGATGGTCTTGCATACTTGCTCAACCTTTTGCCTGGTTGCGCCCCCACGTTTGTCGAAACTCATGGTTCTCTACATCATGCACGTTCGATGGTGGCAAAATCTTTGGGTTCGCGAGCCCATCACCTCATGCACTCGTAACCCCCATTGCAGGGTTGACGAAGAGGGGCAAATATTCCCTTCTGTTGGAAATATCTCAAAGGACTTAAGCGTTTCTGAAGTGTAACACTGCACTCGAGGAAGACTACAGGGGAGCACGCGAGTCAACGGAGGTTACATGAGGGGATAAACAAAGAATGCGAAAAGACTCGAAAGGTCGCAACTGGAGGTTGCGACTGACCGTTACAACATCACGGATGGTAACCGAAGCGGCAATCGAGTCGCTGTGCGACTCGATAAACCGTTCCCGTAACTGTACTCTACAACTGCTTTCTTATCTTCTATATATTGCTGTATGCTTGTTTCTTTAATCAATCACTTGTTCTCATATACTAGCACAAGGGTTCAACTGTCTCAAACTTCCGCTACACTACTTAAGTCTCTACAACTGGGACTTAGTCTCTGGAAAGATCCTTAAGGGCTTTTCTCAGCCCAACATGGTATGAGAGCTGGTCAGAGACCAAACTCCCAGCAACTACGCTCCATCAACAACCTGCAACTCAACTCAATTTAACGACTTCATTGATTACAAGACATGGACAACAAGGGCAAGAAAGTCTCTACGGGCTCACCCAGCGGCCAAGAAACTCAACACGGGAACTCTGGTCTGCACACCTCAGGACTGCAGACAGAGACCGGGACTGCTCAAGAAACAACGGGAAGAGTACCAGAGATGGTGACTCCATCTCCCTCTTCAAGCGTGGACCCCAACCTTATGGAAAGGTTCTTCAGCTTCATGTCGCACTTCGACCAGCAGCAGCAGACAAGGACACCTGCGCATTCAACACAAAGCAATGGAGGAAACATGGGATTAGCGCCGATGAGCCTCGACAACTCATCGTTTGGGCGACACAATCAAGCGCCTACCTTTGCGCCTTATCACTCTTCACCGGGAACGTTCGAGTTTATGCCGCCCCGTGCCCAACCAACAGCAGCTGCATCACAACAAACGCCAAACGAAATCTTAAGTCTCCAAGCGCAGCTCTCGCACGTGATAAAACTACAGACATCCTCACCGTTCAACGGACACGACTTCTTTACCTGGAGTTTCGAGTTCGAGCTGCTGATGGAGGCCGCGCATCTTCTGGGATACTTCAACGGGTCCCTGCCATTCCCAAGCAACGGCACTGGAAAGGAACAAGAAATCTTTACGTATCAGTCGCTGCTGGCGTATACGGTTCTCCTGAGAAACCTGTCACCACAAGAGCAGCAGAGCATCAGAACATACAGGAGCTATGGAAACTCCGCGGAACTCGCATGGCACCATCTCAAGTGCCTCTACCAAGCAAACGACAGCGTGACACAAAGCAGACTCATGCAACAACTGACAACAATACAGATGAAGACCGGGGAAAAGGCGATGCAGTATATGAGTCGCTGCCAGACCCTCCGCGACCGCCTGCTTCGGTGCGGAGGTACAATCACTGAAGAAAGCTTCGTGACACTTGTCCTCGCCGGGCTCGGGCCAGAATGGAGAACCACACGATCGCTTCTTCGCGCCCACGGAAGGATTTCGGAGATGCACCTCTGCGCCGAGCTTCACGCTGAACAACAGGAGATGGACCTGTTCGAAGAAAGACAACCAAGAAAGCAACAGCAGTTAGTCTTCTACACTCACCGAAGAAACGACAACACCTACAATCGACGTGGCAAGCAAGAACGCGACAACAGGGGACTTACCTTCGTGCCGCCGTTCTGCCACAACTGCCAGACTTCCGGGCACTCCAAGGTCAACTGCAACCGCCCTCGCGTTTACCGTCCAGCAGACCCACAAGTCGCTTCCACTCAAGCAAGTCCCCCAAGGCGCTCTTCAACATCTGCACAACAAACACCAAACATTATCAATTGCATGGTACACATCGACAACTGCGCACCCGGATCACCACCCACCTACGCGCCAGACGAAGAAGAGCTGCCGCCACCGTGATCACAAGGCCTTCAAGTCAATCCAACATATGCTGCGGTCGCCAACGCCGAACCCACCGGGCGAAACACCTGGTTCTTGGACAGCTGCTGCGGTCAACACATGTGCTCCTCGGGACGCTTCGCGCAACAGGAGAAACGCCTCAACCGCGACGTCGTCATCACCGTCGCCAACAACGAAAACCTGAAGACAAACAGACAAGGCGTGGTTCAGTTACATTCCATGGAGACAAATGTCATACTTCAACTCAACAAAGTGCTCATTGTCGACAATCTGGGATACAACCTACTAAGCGTAAGCCAACTAATGGCCAAGGGGATTCACCTGGAGTGCGACTCCTACTCCAACGAATTTCGGCTTTACCACGGGAAGGGCGGCCTCTTCATCGGTCGTGCCCTCCTGAAGTCCGGCGTCTTCGTGTTGGACTTCGTCCCCGACCGCGGCACTGCCGACAGCGACGGTATCGTATCGTTCGCCGCCTGGACTCACCCGCCGGATCTTGATCCAGACTTCGACAGTGACGGCTTCTGGCACTCCAACACCATACCTGCAGCAGAGAGAACACGAGCATTAGCAGTTATCAGACAAGAAAGACAAGTACCCGCAAGTATCCCAACCAAACCATCACCTGCAGTATCGGCAGCAGGACCCAGTCGAGTCCCACCACCAGCGACCCGAGGACCGCCAACCGAAGCAGACCAGCTTATGCCCATCACACGAGAAGTTTGTCGAAGTCCCGCCTCAGTCGTCGCGTTCTTCTCCAACGCCGACATCTACCACCGCTCGCCCGGTCATCGCGCTTCCGACGACATCTGGCACCAACGTCTCGGACATCCTGCAAACAGCACGATACTACAAACAATCCAAGCAGAGGTGTTAGAACGCAACGCCCTTCTAACGACGAGCGGCCAAGAACTTCGACGACCACGAGCACGGTGCTTCACGTGCCCCGAAGCAGATCTTCCTCATCAACCTTTCCCATCTCATCACAACCCAAACGCACCTACTTACGCTCCGATGGAAAAGGTCTACAGCGATATTTTAAACATGCCTCGAGAAGACACCGAAGCCGACTTCAACTACGTCATCACGTTCATCGACGCAGCAACCAGATACGTTTTGTGAGAGTACGACACCGTTACACCACTTGGCCTTTTTCATATTTCATCTTCATTTCATTCCTCTTTTTATCTCATCTCCTTTTGCCTCATATTCCCCATTTTCCATTATCCTTTGGTTTCTTCCCTTATTATAATTATATCACCGACCAAGCATGGAATGTTCTAGACACACTATCTAGCGTAATCCTCTCGTAATCTCTTCAAGCCAATAGCCTCGCGTGGCTATACGCAGGGTGATTCTATTTTCTAGAAGGGTCTATTCCTTTAGATAGGATAAACCTGGTTACCTGATGTATTCTGGAAGTATAAAAGCGCCTTGTACTGATCGATAGTGCAACCTTTCCTCGACACATTCGATCCTGTGACACTTGGTAATCAGAGCTTTTCTCACTCGGCCGCGCTCAGCTAAGCAGCAGCAGCGGGGATCCTGCCTCGAAAAACCGCCGGGGGCGACTAATTCGACGCCGATTCTGGTAAGCACCAGCTCCGCGATTTTCGAATTACCCCCTCCGTGCGTGTTTTGAACAGGATGGCAACCTTCGACAACGCCGAGGTTACCCAGCAGCTCTTCGCGCGCATCGCAGCCCTTCAGGAGGAAATGCGAGCGGATCGCGAAGCGTGGCGAAACCAGTTCGAGCGAGTAACTCGACTCGCCGGAGCGCAGCACGAGACGACAACGGCGACGACGCAGCAGTCGCAGCAGTTTCTCGAGGCTCCGAAACCGCGCCCACCTGAGCCGTTCGATCCGAGCGATCGAAACTCCGACGCCCGCAGATGGATCGCCGGAATGGAGATCTACTTCGCAGCCGTCGGATGGAGCTCGCCAGTCTGGGACGGTCAACGCGTACGACTCGCGGCGACACTAATGCGAGGGCCGGCACTCGAGTGGATTGGCGGCAACAGCACCTTCATCCACGGTGAAGCCACGTGGCAGCAGTTCCGCGCCGACCTGCTGAAACGCTTCGAACCGATAAATTCAAGTTTTCTTGCCCGCGAAAAAATTCATCGTCATCGACAGTTCGGGAGTGTATCACAGTACACGCAGCAGATGGAAGAATTTTATAACCGCATTCCCGACCTGACCGAAGGGGAAAAAGTGCAATCGTACCTCGCAGGGCTGAAGACCGAAGTCAAACGACAGGTGGCAGCGTCAAACTACGCGAGCTACAGTGACGTCGTTTCGGCCGCGGAGCGCTTCGACATGGTCAACGCCGGAACACGACGGACGCACGTCGGCAGTACGCGACAGGGCGACCGCTCGGCTCACCCCACGTTCGCCGACCCGATGGAAGTCGACAGATTCGAGGGGCGGCCACGTCCGAAAAACACCAACTACACGTGTGATTTTTGCGGGGTGCCGGGCCACCGAATCTTCGACTGCAACAAAATGAAGGCCGCACGCGCAGAGTATCGGGCACGCAACAGTGGCGGAAATCTTCCGGCCAATCAGAAGACAAAAAACGGGAGTCGCCAGTGATTGCGGATCTAGCTGGCGAAAATAAAAAGATCCGGAAACGGCCGCGGGATTCCGAGAAAATCAACTTCGACGAAGCTGATTCGACGCGAGAAGGAGGAAATGATGGGGGAAAATCTCCACCCCACGACCAGTCTTCGCCAGGGAAATTCGCCGAGGAAAAATCAGACTCCGCGAAAAAAGACTCTGCCGAGACAGGGAAACTCCTTGAAGACCCAAGAAATTATAAGAATTCGTTAAAGTTA